TCTCTCTCTCTCTCTCTCTCTCTCTCTCTCTCTCTCTCTCTCTCTCTCTCTCTCTCTCTCTCTCTCTCTCTCTCTCTCTCTGTCTCTTTGTGTGTAGGTTTCGTCCCATTCCTGAAGATTTACTCCTGCAGGCGTTTGAGGTCACTCACATCCTCTCTCACGTCTACTCTTTCCTCAATTTGTAAATCTCGAGCGCAACTCTGTGCCATGAACACACTGATAATAAATATATATGTGTGTGTGTTTGCGCATGGGTGTGTGTGTGTGTGTGTGTGCGCATGGGTGTGTGTGTTTGCGCATGGGTGTGTGTGTGTGTGCGCATGGGTGTGTGGGTTCAGGTGTTGGACCAACAGAAGAACGGATATCTGGAACCAGAGGAACTCACCAAGTATCTTACACAGGAAGGTAAACACTGTACACACTTTGTACACTTCTCTCTCTGTCCGATGGCGTGCTCATCTCTCTCTCTCTCTCTCTCTCTCTCTCTCTGTCTCTCTCTCTCTCTCTCTCTCTCTCTCTGTCTCTCTCTCTCTCTCTATCTCCCTCTTTCTCTCCCTCTTTCCCTCTCGCTCTCTCCCTCTTTCTCTTTCTCTCCCTCTCTCACTCGCTTGCTCTCTGAATGTGGAGGGAATACGTGAAGAACTGTTTGGCATCTTGCCAAATTTCTGCACTTTTTTTCCTTGTCTATTGTCTTTCATTTTTCTTTCATTTAAATATTGAGCTTTTAGATATAAATGAAGTATTAATAGCTGTAAATAGCTGAGTAGGAGAGAGTGAGCAGGACACCATGGCCCCTGAGGCCGGTGGGGAGACGCTGTCTCTCCAGCATGGTGTCAGGTGTGTGCCGGAGAGTGTGTGTGTGTGTGTGTGTGTTTGGCTGAGTGTGTGTGTGATGCTGTCTCTCCAGCATGGTGTCATGTGTGTGCTGGAGAGAGGAGCTCAGGTGGAGGAGGTGCTGTTAGCGGTGGGAGAGCAGGTTGGTGTGAGAATGTTTACTCTGCCTCCCACTTGAATAAAGCAGTGGTGGTGATCTTGAAAAGACAAACTCTCGTTAACACACTGATGGAGAACGGAACATGGTTTCGGTCTCGCCTCTGTCTGCCCCGCGACACGACTGGCGGCCTCAAACGTGCCTCTGTTCATCTAAAATGAGGTGATTCACTTCTGGAAGTTCACCAGCCCCGTGAAAATGATTTCACTCGGACTCTGCAGTGAAGCACATCCTGTCATTTCGTGAACAGGTTTTCGTGTTTCTAAATAATGAAGATGAGACACTGAATGTAAATTTCAAGTGCAAAGATGGTGACAGCAGTTTCACTGTTTATGCTGCACTGAAAGCTTGAGATGTTTGGGTGAGGGAACATCAGGCACAAAATGTGTGCCTGCCCACACAGCTGTGCACCTGGGGACAGCTGTCACAGCAGCTGTAGCAGCAGTGTGGGGACAGTCAGTGGGAGAACAGCGGGGAGCTGGAACCTGGAGTGAACGACTCCCGGAGCAGTGACACACCAGAGCCAGACATGGAAGAGGTCAGCGATGAACCAAACAGTAACATGAGGCAAACACTGCACCCGATGCTGAGACCCGTGTCGATGCTGATACAGTAATCTCACTGGGCCCGATGCCGCTGCAGGCGTTAGTGCTAGCACTGACCTGGCCTTAGTGTCTGCACTGAGGATGTCTCTGACCCTGTAAAACAGCAGCAGGAGAACCCAGGAGCTCACACAGGAACACACAGAGACTGAGAAAACCTGAGATGAAAGATAACATAGAACTGAGGACAGAAAAAATGACTCAAATGAACATTGTTGATCTGTAAACAAAACCAAAAAATATCAGTGTGCAGTGCAGGAGCTACGGGTGGAGAACAGCTCACACCCATGGAGGATGGAGAGATTTTCCTACAGTTCAGAAACCCCACACCAACAGTTTGAGGCCCTGCACTCCACAGCACAGAGAAACCGCTTTCAGAACTGACAGAAGGTAAACGAAACGTGTCACTCTCAAACTACTTCCTGGATAAAGCAAAATTTGGTAAATCGACACTACATGCTACAGAAAAACATACTCTCAGTGCACAGAAGATTTAGACTCATAAAATGGAAATCAGCAGCATGAAAGACTCGTCTTTAAATATGGACTTATGGATTGAAATATTGTTAAGACTGAAGGGGTTTTGGGGGTTTGGGCTTTCTGGGTGGGAGGGTGTGGGGGTTTAAAACATGCAGGAAATATATAAATATGCAAAACTGATGCATTAAAGGCATCTTAAAAAGTCTAACACTCACTTTCCCTCTCTTTGTCTTTCTTTCCCTCTCTCTCTCTTTCCCTCTCTCTCTCTCTCTTTCCCTCTCTCTCCCTCTTTCTCCCTCTTTCTCTCTTACAGGAGAGCCGTTCTCTCAGGAGGAAATGGATGAAATGCTCTCTGCTGCGCTTGATCCCGATAAACAGCTTGTCTTCTACAGAGAGTTTGTTGGCATGATGACCCTCGATGACCTGCGGTAACTGTGGTAGCCACGGTAACCACGGAGATGCCACTCTGCATCATTTGACCTGATGACGCGTTTATAACGCAGTTATTTAGAAAGAAAGTAAATGAGCTGTCTGTTGTGCAGTTAGAATTCAGCTGAATGTGGTGTTAATAAGATACACTCATACACTCATACACACTCTCTCTCTCTCTCTCTCTCTCTCTTCCTCTCTTCCTCTGCAGTTCAGCACAGTTTATTAATCCACACATGTTTTAATGTCACGTACATCTTCAACACATTACTAAGCATAAAGATATTTCAAAAATGAAAATAAAACACGCTTAAGGGAAAAGAACAATTATTAGTTTTAAGTGAGAATGTATGATGTTAGTTCTATTAGTATTAAAGGTGCAGTGTGTAATATTTAAACTGTTCATAGTCTCATCATTTCAGAGGAAATCTTTAGTTTCTTTTTGTTTCAGTTCAGCACACAGACAGCAGGGGGCGCTGAACATCACACACTTTATTACAGAGACGGAAACACTTTCAGCTGGGACTCGATTCAAAATCAGAGGCTCAGAGTTTTTCCTCCTGTTCCTGCTGTAAACACTGATACAGCACTGTCTGAAAGTCTATTAATTCTATAGTTCATCACTTCTGGGGGGAAAAACATTAAACATTTGGCTGAGTGTGTGTGTGTGTGTTTGGCTGAGTGTGTGCGTGTGTGTGTGTGTGTGTTTGTGTGTGTGTGTGTGTGTGTGTGTGTGTGTGTGTGTGTGTGTGTGTGTGTGTGTGTGTGTGTGTGTGTGTGTGTGTGTGTGTGTGTGTGTGTGTGTGTGTGTTTGACTGAGTGTGTGTGTGTGTGTGTGTGTGTGTGTTTGGCTGAGTGTGTGTGTGTTTGTGTGTGTGTTTGACTGAGTGTGTGTGTGTTTGGCTGAGTGTGTTCCCGCACACACACACACACACTATTCCCTTTTCCAGCTATGGTTCGGTGAAGAATAAATGGGTGGAGTTTGTGTGAACTGGTGATCGTGTGACTTTTACCAGCTTGAAGCTGTTTAATAAAGAGAGAAAGAAAGAGAGAGAGAGAGAGAGAGAGAGAGAGAGAGAGATCCTGAACCTCGCTGATGGGGAACACAGATCTGTCTTTGCACACCGACTCCAGCAGTGAGATTCAGTGGGATCTGTAGTGAAACTCTTCACCGCTCTCCGTGTTTAGCTCACTAAGCACCTGTCAGGTGTGTTAGACTGGGCGGGGGCGTGGCCTGGCCTGTCTCAAACGCTATTGGC